CAAAAATTTATTGACTATATAATTATAGATCTATTTCTTAAGTTTTTATTCTATTTCATTGATCTGTTTGTCTACCTTTATGCAATACCACATTGTCTGGATTACTATAGCTTTATAGTAAGCTTTGATGTAAGGAAGTGTAATTACTTGGAACTTAGTTCTTTTTCTAGAATGTTTTGGTTAAATTTTTTGTATTTCCACACAAATTTTTGAATTGTTAATCTACTTCCACCAAAGCAACCACAACAACAACAGCAAAAACAACAGCAAAAACCTGCTGTGATTTTTATTGAGATTGGTAGCTCAGTTTGGGGGAAATTGACATCTTAACAATATCAAGCTTTCCAATCCATGAACATGGTATATTTCTCCATTTATTTAGATCTTCTCTCAGCCATGTTTTGTAGTTTCCAGTGTAGAGGTCTTATACATCTACTGCTAAATTTAGCTCTAAGCATTTATATTTTTGATGGAATTTTAAAATTTCATTTTCTAATTCTTTAATGCTTGTGTGTATGGTTTTCTATTTTGACTTTGTATCTTGCAACCTTGATACATTTCTTTGATTTCCTCTCACCTCTTTTCTCTCCTCTCTCTTCCTGGATCTTCTATTAGTCATATATTGGGCTTACTGGATTGGTTGTGTCATTTTCATATTTTTTCTTTCCTATATTCCACCTATCTGGTTTGCTGTTGTTGTTTTTATTTCCTCTTTTCCCCAACTTTTTGTCCCAACACTTATAATTTTTTTTTTATTGCCATGTTATGGTAACCAGCTTCTAAGATTGCTCCCAACGATCCATACTTCGATGTAGTCCCTTGTCAAATTCTGTCAAGGTTGTTCTGTATGCCCAACACAAAAAAGGTGGAAGTGATAGTGTGTGACTTCCAAGGCTGCTTCTGACTTGCTCTCTCAGATCATTCACTTTGAGAGAAGTCAGCAGCCATGTCATGTAGCACAATGGAGAGGTCCACAAAGTGAGGGTCAAGGCCTCACTGTAAACAGCTACACTAACTTGCCAGCCATGTGAATGAACCATTTTGGAAAGCTGGTCCTCCCATCCCAGTCAAGTCTTCAGATGACTGCCACCCAGCTAACATCCTAACTGCCAACCTCATGAGAAAACCTCCTAACCAGAAATACCTAGGTAATCCACTCCCAGATTTCTGACCCACAGAAACTATGAAATAATTAAAGTTTATTGTTATTTGAAGCCAATAAGTTTTGAGGTAATTTATTAAAAGCAATAATTAAATAATAGATACTATTATATTTTTTAATTCTTAAGGACTGTTTATTATTCTCTGAAAGTCATATGTTATTAGCATTTTGTCCTTATGAAGATAAAGAAATAAAATATCCAGTAATCAATATATAAACATTTTAAAGTGTAGATTTGTGCATAATTTCCTCTGTAACAAATCACATATCAACTAGCTGCATGATTGTGATAGTAAAGTTCCAAGTTCTTATGAACCAATTATAAGTGATAAATCATACTATACCATTATAAGCTAGAAACATAACTGATAAGACTTAAGTCCCAAAATAATCATTGGTTTAGTGCAGTGGTTCTCAAGAAGAGAGGATATTTCTCTCCAATGGACTCTTGCCAATGCCTGAAGACATTTTTGATCGTCAAGTCTGTAGGAATGCTACTGAGATTGGAAATCCTGCTAAACATGTTACAATGCACAGGACAGCCCCTTACAACAAAGAGGTATCCTGTCCAGAATGTCAATAATGTTAAAGCTGAGAAACCTTGGGTTAGTGTAAACCTAAGAAGACAAATAGAGTTCTGAAAGATCAATTGTATTAATATTTTAAGCAGTGACTCAGCTGGTAAAACAGACTGCATGCTGAGGGAATGGAGACAAAACGCTTTCGCAAAATCAATCATTGCCTCCTCTTTGCTACCTTAGATTTTTGTGTATAATCATTACAGATTTGAAAAAATATAACGTAAAATGTATTACAGCTATGTATGTGTTTCCCCCGTTACACTGGGAATATTCTTAACTGTTTATTCCTGGTAACTTGATCCTTTGTAGAATTTTGTTGATTGTATCATATGAGAAAAATGATGATGGATTACTTACTCAAAGGCACAAATTAGAAGAAACCCTAAGTCTTCCCCCTCTAAAAAGCCCTAGAATTATGGCAATGATTGACAAATAGAACCCAAAAGTAAAAGAATCAGAATTTTAAAAAATCTACTTGGATTCTACTTCCTTTATGTGTCTGAGAATATTCACTTCCATCTGTCTACCTGCTTTTGTGCCAGGCGAGACTGACACGTTGATTCTCATTCAATCTCTCTGTTAGACTCTAAGCTCAAGGACAAAGGCTATGTTGTAGGTCTTTGTTTCTCTCTGTATCCCCATCACCTAGCGCAGTACCTGGCACATAGATGGAACCTTTAAAATAATCTTATGAAGTAGCTATAACACACATTTCCATGATTAGAATTTTTTTAGGGACTAACTATGTGCCAAACACTGAGCTTAACCGTATCTCATATATTGCCTTATTTGATCTTCACCACCACCCTTTGGCAAATATTGTTAACCTATAATACTGATAATGATAATAGCCTGTGTTTTTGATCACTCACTCAATGACACTGTCCTGAGCACTTTACATACATTAATTTATTCAATCTTCTCAATAAGCCTGTAGGGTAGGCACTATCATTATCTTCATTTTAAACAAAATTTTTTTTTTAACGTTTATTTATTTTTGGGACAGAGAGAGACAGAGCATGAACGGGGGAGGGGCAGAGAGAGAGGGAGACACAGAATCAGAAGCAGGCTCCAGGCTCTGAGCCATCAGCCCAGAGCCTGACGTGGGGCTCGAACTCAAGAACCGCGAGATTGTGACCTGAGCCAAAGTCAGACGCTCAACCGACTGACCACCCAGGCGCCCCACATTATCTTCATTTTAAAGAGGAGGAACCTGAGGTACAGAGAGGTTAAGTAACTGATCTAGGGTTACCTAGTGGGTGAGTGACAGAGTTTTGAATCCAGGTAACCTGCCCTCAGAGTTCACACAATTAACCCCTTCACTATTTCCTTCCCTGGACAAGCTTAGCAAAATTAAGCGACTTGCCTTGAGTTACAAAGCTAATAAAGAGAGAAATTGGTATTAAGCCAGGACCTTGCAGTTCTAAAACTTACACTTTTTCATTCAGTCTAATTACCTCTCCAAAGATAGAAATATTCTACAGTTCCTTTGTGGCTAGTTTAAAATCTTTCTCCAGGGGCGCCTGGGTGGCGCAGTCGGTTAAGCGTCCGACTTCAGCCAGGTCATGATCTCGCGGTCATTGAGTTCGAGCCCCGCGTCGGGCTCTGGGCTGATGGCTCAGAGCCTGGAGCCTGTTTCCGATTCTGTGTCTCCCTCTCTCTCTGCCCCTCCCCCGTTCATGCTCTGTCTCTCTCTGTCCCAAAAATAAATAAAAAAAACGTTGAAAAAAATTTTTTTAAATCTTTCTCCATAAAAGTATTGTATTATAAATAAAAACCAACGTAGGGATGGTTAAATGGGGATGGGCATTAAGGAGCACACTTGTTATAATGAGCACTGAGTGTTGTATGTAAATGCTGAATCAGTAAATTCTACTCCTGAAACTAATATTACACTGTATGTTAACTAACTGGAATTTAAATAAAAACTTGAAACTACAAAAAAAAAATCAACCTAGGCTATGTATTCTTTCTTCCTTTTTTTTACATTAAAGAGAGAGAGCACGAGCAGGGGAAGGGGCAGAGAGAGAGAGAGAGAGAGAGAGAAAATCTCAAGCATGCTCCACACTCAGCAGAATGCAGGGCTCGATCCCACAACCCTGGGACCATGACAATATCAAGAGAAGGACACTCAACCAACTGAGCCACCCAGGCACTCCTCTATTCTTCAAATATGTAAGATGTAACACTCAACTAGAAAACACAAAGCAGTATATGTATTTTCTAAAACATGCCTTTTTTTCCCTCTGTTGGAATAGTTATGGGAGCCAAAAAATAGGTCTCATGACGGTAACACCCTATTGAGCATAAAAACTCACAAACTTCCTCCTGAAAAATCACAGATTTATTAATGGGAAGATGAGGGTATAACTTAACAACTGTCACCAAAAGTAAAATGCTATAAAGATTGGGACGGATGCTTTCTGATGGGCATTACATTTGATACGAAGATTTTCACACTCTGGGGACACCGGGCTGGCTCAGTTGTAAAAGCGACTCTTGATCTTGGGGTTGTGAGTTCAGGCCCCACATTGGGTGTGGAGATTACTAAAATAAATAAACTTTATTTTAAAAACATATTTTCACACTCTACGTCTTACTTTAAGCCATTCACATACCTTTACCTCAGACTTCTTAGTCCCCAGTCTACAATCTTTCTATTTTAGGCCCCTGACCAAAACATTCACCACTACCCATGAAAGTGTATATATTCTAACCTTAGGCTACTTTTCTTTCCACACAGAGTAAATGACCAGTTACACCACCTGAAGCTCTGCCCACAGGAAGAATTTCCTCTCACAGCTATTTTCTTTTTTTTTTTTCATTTATTATATCGGAACTACTTTCAACAATACATATACATATATATATATATTTTTTTTTTTTTTAAGATTTTAAGTTATCTCTATGCCTAACGTCTGCCTCGAACTTATAACCTCAAGAATAAGAGTCTCATGCTCCACCAACTGAGGCACGCAGGTGCCCCCCCAACAATGGATGTATTTTTTAATTGAAGCCCAGTTGGCATACAGTATCATGTTAGTTTCACGTAAACAACATCCCAATTCAACATTTGTATATATTATTAAATGCTCACTGCCATAAGTATAGTTGTCATCTGTCGCAAAGTTATTACAATATACTTGATTATATTCCCTACACTGCATTTTATACCCCTAGGAATTATTTGTTTCATAACTGGAGGTTTGTACTTACTGCTTTTTTTTTTTTTTTTTTTTTTGTAATCAACATTGTAGTGAGCTCTCCTACCCCGAAGAAATCTATTCCAGCAGATTTTCTCTTTGCCACGGGCATCACAGACACGGGGGTGCAGCTGGCACTCCCCTCGCTGCTCGTCATATGAGGACCCACGAGAGGAAGGCTCCCTCTTGGGACAGGCCAGGCACCGCGTGGGGCCAGGAGAGCAGGCCCAGCCAGGCCTTAGCGCGGGCAGTTAACCAGGAACGACCCCAGAGGTAGGATGAATCTTTTCTCTTACAAGAAGAAAAAACTAGTATGAAACCCCAGTCGTGTGCCAGCGCTCAGAGTGTAAGTATAAAAAGGGGATCATCAGGCGCTGAGGCTGTCCAGGTCGAAAATGGGGGGCGGTGGCTGTGTCCCGGCTTCCGGGGCTGCCAGGTCGGTCCGGGGCACAGCTGGGACTGGTCCACGTCCAGCGGCGCCCACGGCGAGGAGGGCTCAGCTCGCACGTGAAAGGCCCTCACCTACTTCGTAGCTCTTCCTGGCGTGGAAGTGAGCATGCGGAACGTCTTCCTGAATTCGCATCACGCAGAGCGCGAGAGACCCTAGTTGGTCGCCTCCCCCCATCTCCGCATCAGGGCCAAGCCCTTTCCCTGGGGAGATGGTAATCCCACTCTATTCCATGACTCCCACGTGAATCCACTTCCCACCGGCTACGGAGATGAATAAAGAGAACCTGGACCACGGCCCCGGGGGGCGGGGACCACAGCGCTGGTTTGGACCATGACTCCGCACACGGACCAGAAAAGTATGTGGGACCTGAAGCTCACCTTCCCTTACGTGTATCAAATGACGACCAGTATGCTGACCTTCCATCCCTTTGCTTGTGGCAGGAGATGGCTTACATAAATAACTCAGATTGGTCCAGGAATAAATAAAAAATAATAATAATAAATAAAAATAAAATATAAAATAAATAAAAAAGGGATCGTCAGAAAACAGCTAAACAGACAACACCTATTTCACCCATCCCTTTACCACCTTCCCTTTGGCAACCACCAGTTCTCTGTATTTATGAGTCCACTTCTGTTTTGTTTTTAGAGTCCACATAGAAGTGAAATGATACAGTATTTGTCTTTTTCCGTCTAACTTATTTCACTTAGCGTAATACCCTCTAGGTCCATCCGTGTTGTGGCAAATGGCAATATTTCATTCTTTTTTATACCTAATATTCGTGTGTGTGTGTGTGTGTGTGTGTGTGTGTGTTTGACTTGCTAGCTGGTGTTGGCCCACACACGACCCCTCAGGCACACACTGGAACTGGGTGCAGAACGCTTCCCAGCTCTCTTACCTCTAGAGATGACATTTCCATGACCCTGCCCAGCAGGCTCCCCTGGATTCCTCCTGCCCCCGCTGCTTATTATGGTAACTGCACCGCCTGGCTTCTAACGGTTGCACTACCACCTGGCCTCTATCGTTTCGAGAACCTCTCATTCCCATTGCTATTAGTGAGCCCAGTTCTGCAGCAACATCTGTACCATTAACCTTGCCCTTCAGAGGAAAGTTACTACTGATAGCTCAGAGATGTCGAGATTCTCACCAGCATATTCTTTATCACTTGGGGCTTCCCGTTGAACAAAATCTTCTTGGGGGTTTTCAGGACTGACAGTCTGTTCGTGTAACGTGCTCACTTCCTTAAACCCTTTCACCCCTTCTTCCACGGCCTGCTGTGGTGGTTGTAAGCATTCCTACTCCACTTAAGAAGGGCTGTTGCTTTCTTCTAGCTTCTAAGAGCCATTCTAGCATGGCGTCAACACCTTCTCCCGGAGTTCTTGCCAGGGTGTTAAAACAGAATACTATGTCTATGTTTTACCTCTGTCCCTTCGAATTAAGTCATATAGACACTCACTGCTGAGGTACATGACAGCTGGGTTCTGCAGAACCCGCAGAGTATATTACCTTTCTTTCTTAGCGGGCCCCAAATTTCCCCGTTCATTTTTATTGTAGCTGTAGTTACTCATCTCATGGGTAAGGAGAGAAGTTAGGGATAGACCTTGAGGGAGCCTGCGTGTGGTATTGAAGGGCACAAGCCTCTTAACCACCTTTAAGCCAGAGGGAAGACCTACTTCTTAAGGAGTGGGCCGCTGAAGTTCAGAGGGCTTGAGGGAATCAGGGGCATCGAGATCTGAATGTATCAACCTGGGTGTCATCTCTCGGGGTCCCATTTTTTTTCCAGTCAGGGCCTTGACTTTACATGACAGACTTGGCTAGGTTGACAGTTCAACATTCGACAGCGTTTGCTCACTTTGTGTCTCTGCGTCACATTTTGGTCATGCTCACAATATTTCTTTTTCGTTGCCATACTTGTTACGGTGATCTGTGAGCGGTGATCTCGGATGTTAGTATTGTAATTGTCCTGGAGTGTCATAAATTGCACCCAAACAAGATGACAAACTTCATAAATATGTGTATTCTGACTGCTCCGCCAATCAGCTGTTCCCCTGTCTCTCTTCTCTCTCTCTGTCTCTCTCTCTCTCCTCAGGCCTCCCTATTCCCTGAAACACAGCAGTATTGAAATTGGGCCAATTGATAACCCTACAAGGGCCTCTAAGTGTTCGAGTGAAAGGAAGAGTCAGTCACATATCTCTCACTTTAAATCAAAAGCTAGAAATGACTAAGTTTAGTGACGAAGGCCTGGAGGCATGTCGAAAGCCAGGATCGGCGGAAAGCTAGGCCTCTTGCGCCAACAGCCGAGTAGTGACTATAAGGGGCAAGTTCTTGAAGGAAGTGAAAAGTGGTACTCGAGTCAACACATGAACGATAAGAAAGCAAAATAGCTTTATACGGATATGGACAAAGTTGGAGTGGTCGGGATAGAAGATCAAACCGGCCACAACATTCCCTCAAGCCAAAACCCGATCCAGAGCGAGGCCCTAACTCTCTGCAGCTCTCTGAAGGCTGAAAGAGGTGAGAAAGTGGCAGAAGAAAAGTTTGGAGCTACCAGAGGTTGATTCGTGAGGTTGAAGGGAAGAAGCCTTCTCCATAACGTGAAAGTGCAAGGTAAGGTGACAAGTGCTGGTGTAGAAGCTGCAGCAAGTTTTCCAGAAGATCCAGCTAAGATCATTCGTGAAGGTGGCTACACTCAATAACAAATTTTCAATATAGACAAGACGGCCTGTTGGAAGAAGATGTCACGTAGGACTTTCACAGCTAGAGAGATGTCAATGCCTGGCTTCAAGGCTTCAAAGCACCGACTGACTCTCTTTTTAGGGGCCAGTAAAGCTGGTGACTTTTAAGTTGAAGCCCGGGCTCATTTCCCATTCCAAAACTCCTAAGGACCCTTAAGAATCATGTTAAATCTACTCTGCCTGTGCTCTATAAATGGAACAAAGCCTGGATGACAGCATTTCTGTTGACAACACGATATACTGAATATTTTAAGCTCACTGATGAGAACTATTGCTTAGAAGAAAGATTTCTTTCAAAATGTTACTGTTCGTTGGCGATGCACCCGAGAGCTCTGAGGGAGAGGTACAAGGAGATTAATGTCATTTTCGTGCCTGCGAACGCAACATCCATTCCGCAGCCCTGGGTCAAGGAGACACTGAGACTTGCAAGTCTTATCATTTAAAGAAATATATTTCTTAATATCTATATTTCTGTCATACATAGCGATTCCTCTGATGAATCTGGACAAAGTAAATGGAACACCTTCGGGAAAGGATTCACCATTCTAGATGCCATTAAGAACATTCGTGATTCACGGGAAGCAGTCAAAATAGCATGAACAGGGGCGCCTGGGTGGCTCGGTCGGTTAAGCATCTGACTTCGGCTCAGGTCATGATCTCACGGCCCGTGAGTTCGAGCCCCGCGTCGGGCTCTGTGCTGACAGCTCAGAGCCTGGAGCCTGTTTCCGATTCTGTGTCTCCCTCTCTCTCTGCCCCTCCCCTGTTGATGCTCTGTCTCTCTCTGTCTCAAAAATAAATAAACGTTAAAAAAATTTTTCAAAATAGCATGAACAGGAGTGTGGCAGAAGTTGATTCCAACCTTCATGGATGACTTCATGGGGTTCAGGACTTCAGTGGAGGAAGTAACGGCTGATTTGGTGGTCATGAGTTCAAGCCCCGCGTCAGGCTCTGCACTGACAGCCTGGAGCCTGCTTCAGATTCTGTGTCTTCCTGTCTCTCTGTTCCTCCCCCACTTGCACTGTATCTCTGTCTCTCTCTCTCTCTCTCTCCCTTTCAAAAATAAAGATTAAAAATAAAATTTTAAAGAAGCGGAGACTGAAAAAAAAATAAGTCGAGCCTGAAGATGTGGCTGCAGTGTCATGATAAAACTGAACAGATGAGGAGTTGCTTCTTATGGACGAGCAAAGAAAATAGTTTCTGGAACAGAATCTACTCCTGGTGAAGATGCTGTGAAGATGGTTGAAACGACAGCAAACGATTTGGAATATCTTATAAACTTAGCTGACAAAGCAGGGACAGAGTTCAAGACGATTGAGTCCAATTTTGAAATAAGTTCTACTGTGGATAAAATGCTATCAAACAGCATCACCTGCTACAGAGAAATCATCCGTGAAAAGAAGAGTCAATGAATGTGGCAAACTTCATTGCTGGAGCCACCCCAGCCTTCGGCAACCCCCACCCTGATGAGTCAGCGACCATCAACATCTAGACAAGTTACTCCACTAACAAAAAGATTATGACTCACTGAGAGATGATGGTTAGCATTTTTCAGCAATAAAGTATTTTTAAATTGAGGTACGTACATTGTTTTTGGCTTTTTTTAGACATAATGCTATAGCATACTTAATAGACTACAGTATAGTATAAATATAACTTTTATATGGAATGGGAAACCAGAACATTCGTTTGACTCACTTTATTGCAAAACTCACTTTATTGTGGTGGTCTGGAACTGAAACTGCAATGTGTCTGAGGCGTGCCCCAATGCTGCGAAGGAAGCCCATCTGTTTTCACATTTAGCCTTTAATTAACCATCCTTGGTCTTTCATTGTCTCTTTTAAAAGCATTACTTGCTTCTAGCAATAGCCATCCAATACTATTGTCTTTATAATTACCACTTCCTCATATTTCTCAATGCCCAACACCCTAGCCCTAATACCCCCGAGGTCATCGTCAGTGAAAACTTCAGTAATTGCTGTGCTGTCCTGTCCCTGTGCTGCATCTCTGGCCAGGGATGGGGTCCTCATTGCCAGTCAGGCAGCAGGTGATCTAGCTCCCAGATCCCATTTTAGCATCTGCTTTCTACGTTCCTGTCGCCAGCTGTCACCAGTTGGACTTTCCATGTAGCAATGCAGTAAGTTTCTAAGGGAGCATTCTCAGGACAGATAACCTGGAAGGGGAATGGAAGGAAGCAAGACTAAGTAAAGGAAGAACAGGATTCATGACAACGATGCTGACAAGCTTTTCAGAACTCAGGGGAACAGAGATGGGAACAGCCTTCAGGAAGAAGAGGCGCCTGGACAAGAATAACCTCGCTCTACCACAATTGTTCTCTTCATCTGCTGGTTAATAGGATTTGATTGCAAAATTTGTTCTGTAAAATAATCTTGCTGATATCTTGTCGATAAGACTTCTAGAAACATCTGAGCAAAAATGATTATTTCTTAATTTATCTATTATAACAAGAGATCCCAGACAGCTTAACTCATTGATTATAGTTCTGCTTTAATAGAGGAACATTTGAAAATACACAGATATCCAGGAAAAAAAAAAACAAAAAAAGGAAAGCAGTATGAAGTATTCCGAGCACAGTCGTGCTTTAGTTTGGGTCCTAAGTTTCTAATTGTAACACCAATCGTAGTTCTCAGCAAACATGGCCCACCAGCTCTCCCAGCACATCCAGTGGTAACAGTAGAGTGGTACACTTTACAGGGGACTTGTCAATTACCCACCCACTCT